TCGCAATTGGCGACATGGCAAAACAGTGACCTAAATGCAAAGTTAAAGTGTAAGGATCGTTCCTAATGCGTCATCACACATACACACACACACACCCACACACACCCACACACAAATATATAGAAACCCAGGCACAGCATAAGGATCAAGGCCTTTGATGTCTTAGGCCACTGATTGTCCCCATCATTTGAAGAAAGGTTTTAGTCAAAAGAATCAATCCAGTGCTGTCTATCGATTGAAACACATCACAGCTGATTCTAATGAGTGGAGGAGAAAGTCTGGTTTCTATGGGGCCGGAATTACCTTTCGATTGCCAATGCCTGGGTGTTGGGACTCTCATTTGCTGCGCTACCTTTTCTGATCAATACTGAATCAGCCAGTGTATAGTAATTAGCTTTTAGAGAGGCACTCAACAAAGATCTGTGGTGCCTCTGATAGACTTCACCAGAAAAGGTCAGGCAAAATCAGCAGTGAACTAGAAGGTGATGGGTAAAGAAAAAGACCCCTTGCCTGAGAAGTACTTAGCTCTTTTTTAATTACTGTAATTTTCAACAAAAGTAGGAGAGTGAGATGATGAAGTACAGCACTTTCCTCCCCGCTGTTTCTGATGAGGCTTGATAGTCCTCAAAATTACGCATTGACTCTCGTTGATTTCTCCCAGTGTTTAGTGCTAATAACCTGTAGGGTCTTTTTTCTCTTTACCTCTCAGTCCTAGTGTCACTGCAGTAATTACACTGTGTGAAATCTGCACTGCAATCACAGCTGCCAACTCTGAGCTCCGCAAGCTAGGTCAGACCGTGTGTAGTGCACATAAAACCAGCAGCTCAGCTCAGAAGGGATAAAACAGACCAAAAATGAACTGGGTTCATTCCAAAGTATTATTGCTGTGAACTAACTATAATTTGAAGCGAAGCAGGGTTTAATTCTGTTTATAAACCAACACTTTCATATTTTTTTCACAAATACTGCCCTACTAACTAAATATATGGTCAATTCACTTTACGGTGTGCCCTGTGAAGCGGTTTGAGACGTCTCGAAGACATGATAAGGAACTGTATCAATGCAAGAATTATTATTATTATTATTGACTAAAGTGGACAAATGGGTTTTAATTTAGATGACAAAACTATTTTTTTCCAAGGTTTCTTTCACAATGACTTTGTGCTTCACCGCCTCCCCCCCCCCCCCCCATCCCATTGCATTGCAGGACAAATCTGTGTCATAAATGTGGGACGGCCTGAACTACCTATTCATTCTCAATGCCATTTAATTTTTGGGGAGGTGTGAAACTTCACATTCGACTGCTGTGTGGGAATAAAGTGAGTGTGGGATGGATACAATTCAAACTTTTTTGGTAATAGAAGTTAAAAAGTGAGCAGAAAGCACAAGTTTTAACGGGGAGAGCAAATGGACTCCCCAAGCAATGGCAAGATGCAATTTAACCTATTTAGCACTCCCAGTAATAATAATAATAATCCTTGCATTTGATACAGTGCCTTATCACGTCTTCTGGACGTCTGAAAGCCCTTTACAGAATAGACTGTAAAGTGAGTATATTTTGTGGACGAAACGCGGCAGCCAATTGCGCACAGCAGCGTCCCACAAACAGTCGTGGATTGAGTGACTAAAATATATTTTTAAATTTTTTATTCTTTGAAGGGATTATTATCCCGGAAAAGCGATCATCCACTCGACTAACAACCAGGTTCCTACTTACTGACAGGTAAACAGAGGCGTGTGGCATAAGGTTTCACCCAGCCTAGGAATCGAACCCAGATCCTCTCACTTGCAAGGCGAGCACTCTCACCACTGAGCTACAAGACTCCACAGTACCATTGCAGGACCAGGAGGAAATAGTAATGGTACCAATTGTGGCACTTCCCCCTCCCTTCCTTCCTGCAAGTATTTCTTCAGTCAACCTATCACACCCCTCTGGCTGAAACAGTAGGCGTGGTAGCAGGAAGCAGAACAGATCTTACCTCCCCACACGCGCACACAAAAAGAGAAAAGGAATAATTATTCAAATCATTTCAATTAAATTCAGTTCATTAACGATGTAATAATAATCCTTGCATTTGATGTAGGGCCTTATCACGCTTCCGAGACGTCTCAACGCGCTTCACAGAATATACTGTAAAGTGAAATGCGGCAGCCAATTGCGCACAGCAGTGTCCCACAAACAGCCGTGGATTGAGTGACCAAATTATTATTATTATTTTTTTTAGAACTTAGTAAATTGCCTTTATCGCAAAACGATTTGTGGAGCGAGTGTACAGGTCTGTAAGATTGACCGTTGATCATCTCGGTGATGGAAATCGAGTAAAATATAAAGCTTTTTTGATATTGATATTAAAGCGCTTTTATATAACGCCCCTCTGTGCGTGAGGGGCGTTATATAAAAGCATGATGTTGTTGTTATTACAAGCCATCCGAGCCAAACCTCAGCCACTTAGAAACCGCTCTTATAATGTCGAGTTTCCTCTGGATCAATAGCAAGTGCTTTTTTTAAATTAAGTTCTAAGTTCCTTTGCAACGTGCAGGTAGATACATCAGCAAACCCTGAGATGAAAGGCAGAGGGTCTTGTCTGTTTAAGCATCACTGAAAATCACAACACAGAAAATCTGTGGTGATAAGCAAGCCTGCACGTTTCTCCAGTAGAGCCCACACTGTATACACAGAGAGGAGGGAGAGAGTCAGGGGTGGGGGCTAGGGGCTGGGCTGCCAACACTCTTAACAGTGTCATTGTCCATTTACATTTTAAAAGGTAATGAATTCAGTCAGTTAGTATTGAGAACATACTGTGGAACTCCCTCCTATTGCCCTTTCCTATTTTCCCCATTGTGTCCTCTGTAAAAAAAAAAAGTTTTTTTTAAACAAAAACTAGTTAGTGCTGTGTGGTGTGTGTACGAACCACTGTTATTCCAACAGGCAGCCCATAGTATGGTCACAAAAAGGAATCGTTTGAACTTACAAACCGGTCTTGGAGTGTTCTCTCTCTGGCTATTTTTTTTTGAATGCTACGCATTGGTCTGAAACTCAAAAGGCATCGGATCTCTCTGTTAAAAGGCTCCTCGCCAAGCCATGCTAGATTGTAAGTAGGTGGTAGTGACGCACCTAAAATCACTGGTTAACTTTTAAAGCGAAATAGGTTCAACGTAAATAAAGAAAGCTTCAAGTCGCTGGATGGTGGCATAGTTTTTTTTTAGGTGGTTGGGGGGGACTCTAATCAACCACTTCTCTTTCCCATACATAAACGCCAGCCAGCACCCGATAGAAACAAAAGGACCGATCCCAATGTCTGAATACAGTGACATTCATTCTAAGAGGAGTGGGGGCAGCTTTTTGTAAGCACACTGCTTCAGACCAACAATGGCACACAATGGGTTATTGACTTGTTTATATATGGGGCTCTTTTCAGTAACTAACTCTGACTCCCACAGTCTGGGCAAATGATTGATTTCGCTGGTGAAAGAGAAAAGGGCCCTACGCGCTTAACTCTATAGTGTAAACTGTTTCTTCCCCATTTGTACACCCTGAATAGAGCCTTATTAAAATGCACTTTCCAAAAATACCTGCAGCTGGCCATTATGAGCGAGTTCTGTATATATAAATAAGTAATTTGTCCCATTCTTTTGTATGGTAACAGGGCATTGGGAATCTCATGTCGGCAGATATGAATGCTGGTATAATCAGCCTTGCAAGTTAGACTGCGGCGGGTAATGTAAATCTACACATGATATGAAGTTATTTTTTTTCCTTCCCCCAACAACAATTACGTCTGTATTACAAAACAGAAAGAAATTGAATGTTCTCTGCCAAAACAGAGCAGTGCATCTTGAGGCAAATCTACTGAATTTGATGCTCAGAGTAAATGAATGAGTTCAAGCCATCTAAACTGTATCAGATCACCGTCCACTGAGCACAATGTACTATTATGGTTTGCTGTAGCATAAAGGCAGTTTGGCTTCTAACTGAATAAAATTGACTCTGGGTAATTTTCACAGCTGCACAGGCTTACATATTAATAAAAGATGCCCCATTATAGGAACATAAAGTTCACGGTAATAATCCAGCGTGCGAGAGAGAGAGTGAGTGAGTGTGCGTGTGTGATTTTTTTTTTGCTTTAGCCGAAAGCAAAGTTATTTTGCTATGGATTGGGACAATCAAGGAAGTGAGCAAGCTAATTTAAGGGAACTGTTCACATAATCCACATTTCTCATTAGTGTATGATATTAATGTTTCTTGGAATCTACAGGCACGGCTTTGAAGACAGAGACAGAGAGAGAGAGAGAGGGTGGGGATGATTTGATGCCTACAAAATTTCACAGTTGTAGCTTTGCTAACGTCTACCTAGCAATATCTAGTATGAAGATCTAATAAAGATAGTTTTTTTTAAAAAAAATTTAAGATGTGATTTTTGCATGTGTCTGCGTTGCTGTAATTTTTTGGGGGGGCCGGGGGGTTGTAAGTTAAAAAAAATAAAATGAACCTATTGGTTGTCACAGAAACCCTCAAGAAGCAGAACAACTGTTCAACAATTAAACTATTCATGTAGACTGGGCTCCGTACATATAATCGCTTGTGATCTTATTCAGATCAACCTCCATTGATTTTTATCTGAACGTAATTGCTATGAAAAGCAATACTTATTGAAAAGGTACTTTGGAAGTTTTAAAAATAAATGCTCATTGATGATTTTTCCCTCTTCAACCTGATGAGATGAAGCATTATATATATATATATTTATATTTATTATATACAGAGGGTGACCAAAAAGTCGTGATACCTTTTGATAATATTATCTCAAGAAAACAAAAATATCATAATTTCTTTAAGACTTATTAGACATTGTAATGGCATCATGACGTTTTGATCACCCTCTGTATATATATATTATATATATGTATATAAAATCAGAATAAAGGGTATGTATAACCTGCAGAGGAATTACCATGCATTCACCGCACATTTTTCAAACTTGTTTTGCTTTCTCTTTTAGGTGGATTATTCCTTCCATGGTCATCCTGAGAGAGTTACGTACAAAGACATAATGTCCATGACAACAAAAGAGCTGTATAAAAGGAAGGAAGCTGTAAGCGCATTTGTTTCTTATTTTACTTTAAATAGAGAGAGAGAGAGAGAGATAGAGAGAGGACCTCATTCTGAAAACAAAATGTTTGTTGTGAGGATAGTGTGCAACTGTTTGAAAGAGATTTTTTTTNCGAACCGCAGTTTTATCTGGTTCCCCTATTTGCAAGCTTTAGAAGGGAGATCGTAAAAAGTTATTGAGCTAGTTTTGTCTCTAATGAGGATAGTTGCTGGCGGTTAGAGGAAGGTGCTCTGACTGAGGTTAGGGTTTTCATTTGACTGGCCAGCATGTTTCCGCCTGGCTGCCTTTACACACAAACAGATTGAAATATGAACAGGCCTAGTTATGTGGGGTCACGAAAGGGCAAGTTTTGTCTTCTTTTACTCTATTCAGATCGCTTTTAGGTTTTAGGGGAGGGAAAGGAAAGGGGAAAAAAAAGCTTTGGGTAGAAAGAGAATTCTTCTTGATATTGTATTTTACGGCAGCATGTACCTAAAACTGGCAGCTGGCCTTATGGATGGAAATAACTTATTAAAACCACCAGGTGCAATACCCAACAATTATTTCAAGCAAATGTAAAATTTGACAGTTAATATTATGCTTTTATACTGGCGATTGATTATCGTGATCCTGTTCTTTCTTAAAATATATCTCAAATACTCGATTTAGTGGAATTTTTTGTCTTATTCCACGTTCCAGGCATTCTTTAAGAGACAAGGAATTTTTTTGTTTTCTTGTTGGGTTTTGCAAGCGATGTATTGAGCCCAGTGTAAAATAAACTGCACAGCACATGATGTTGAAACAGTTTGCATATATATTACACAATTTGTTTTACAAAATTCAGTATGAAATCCTTTAAATGATGCACTGTATATGAAACGATTAAAAAAATGTTGAAATAATGTCAAAAGGAAACGTAGACCATTGATTTCGGCAATGCTTGTTGCCATTTCTGGGACAAATTCACGGCCTGATACGTCACAAGCTAAAGCTAAAGTAGGAGAGTTTATATATTATATTTCATTTTATTATACATGGAACAATTTGTTTCCTTGGGACATCCTCCAGAGGTGAAAGGCGCTATACAAATGTCATTTGTTGTTGTTGTTGTTGTTGTGCCATTTTGACATAAAGCAGTATATAAATGTTATTTCTTTTCGTTTCTGATAGCTTTTAAATCCAGTGCAAATAAGTCAATAGAAACCAAAACACAAAAGCACGAAGGAGTGTGTTCCTCAGCGATGTACGTGTCAGCCTGGCTCAGTTGGTAGCACTGTCGCTGCTGAGTCTGAAGGTTGTGGGGACTTTGAACTCATATAGTCTTGTGTAGGCTGGGCTGCCATTCCAATGCGGTGCTGGGGGAAGCGCTGTATTGTTAGATGAGACGTTAACCCAAGGTCCCTTCCGCCTGTTCAGGTTGATGTTAAAGATCCCCTAGCAATATTCAAAAAGTAAAGCAAGTTTCCCCTGGTGTCTTGGCCAACAATAAAACTGGTCATCCTCTCCATGGCTGTTTGTTGGACATACATTGCCGTTGTTGTCTGTAAAGCTCTTTGAGACGTGCTCCCGACGTGAAAGATGCTATATCAAATTCTTAACAATAATCGTCCTAGTCTAAAACCGCAATTCCCTACTTTAAAATAAACCCGTTTATATTCAGCTTCATAGCACGCAAGCTTTTGGGCTATTCCTCACTTCAAAAGTATTTTATGTGGAATACTCTTTTATACAATCAAAATTCCACATAGAAACCGCTTGTCCTAGGCTAGGTTTTGCACAAGTCCCCTTGCCCCCTCCCAAACCCCTCCCCCCCAAAATTAAGTACTTCCATCGTTTCTTTCTACTATTTGAGTTATTTCACTAAAATCCAGTTGGACAACTCATTTTGCAGTGAAATATGAAGACTTAGATTGTTTTTGTGACTGATACAGACTCTTATCACTGAGCGATGCAAAGTCAAAAAGGAGTCAATGCAAGGACGACCGTTATGCAATGTACCCTCTAACACATATCGAACCCTTGAGAGGTATGTTTCGGTCAAAAAAGATTGTCCACAGATGAGCCTTGACACTCAGATTCTGGTTGTATCAAACTTTTGTGACAGAAATAGCATTTTTTTTAAAAAGTGTAATAGGTGTGACTTCAATAATTATCCCTGGTTAACAGCTTCTTGTAATTTAACCCCGTTAGGTGGAGAACTTGATTGATGACTTGCGAACTGCTATCACCAAGTACAAGGGTCAGCTCTCCAAACTTGCCCCACAATTACAGACTGAAGAGGAGCAGAGAACGAGCTTTGTTTGCCAGCACATTAAAGAGCTTAAAGCAAACAACACTCTTGCACAGGGCCTGCAGCTAAAAGTGAGTGTCACTTATCTGGTTGTCATGTCTCACTATATATATATTGAAAAGTAACGCTGGTGTTTCTCTTTTATGCCCCGCTAGAGAGATATCTGTCAGTAGCCATTTAATCCATGTTCTGATTGCCTTCACTGTGCACTGTGAGCCCATAAACCTCAGCTGGGTTCACGACTAATGGGGTCGAAAATAACTAACTTGTTTCACAAAAATCATAGGATCGATCAAGAGTGGCCCGTGAAAACCGTCACATTAAAATCTGTTCATCCCTTTATCGCAATTATCTGAATAACTCAAAGCACTAGTACACTACGCTGTGCTAATGGAAGCTCTCTTTGTATTTTATATGAATTGAATATGAATCATTAGCATTCTGGCAAATGTATATTTGTGCAGCAATCCAGACACCCCGGTGTAGCAACTTGCTAAGACTTTTGGAGTCAATCCTGGGGGCATGAACCATCATCTGGAGAAGCCTAGGACTCCAATGTGGAGAGTGAGAAACATCTCCTGGAGTCCTGTAGCTCAGTGGTTAGAACACTCGCCTCACAAGCGAGAGGACCCGGGTTCGATTCCTGGACAGGGCAAGATGTTGGGCAAATTTCCTTACTCCACACACACGCCTCTGTTTACCAAGCAGTAAATAGGAAACCAGTTGTTAGTCGATTGGCGGATTGCTTTTCCGGGGGTAATAATCCCTTAAAAAAAGGGAGAAACAAAAAAAGTAATAATTTGGTCACTCAATCCACGACTGTGTGGGACGCTGCTGTGTACAATTGGCTGCCGTGTTTCGCCCACAAAATATACAGTCAATTCACTTTACTATTCTATTAGTCTATTCTATGAAGCGCTTTGAGATGTCTCGAAGATGTGATAAGGCGCTAAAGGAAATGCAAAGATTATTATTACTATTTTTATTATTAAAAAGAGATAAGAAAGTAAGAAATCCTTTGAAAAGAAAGGAATTTGGTTCAATACAAATGGCTGTTTCAGACCCATTGCTTGGTTTGAAGTTGCTCTATTCAGAAGAAATCCCAGGTTAAAAGATCGACTGATTTTTGTGCTGGTGATATTGGTAGAGTTTGAAAATCTAGTTTCCTATTCAGGATAAACCCATAAAACTAAGGGGTTTGTAGTTTTTCTCTATCTTTTTACCCCACATTTGCTGGCACCCATCACTCACATGACTGCTGATGTGTAGGTGCATATGTACACATGACATAGCTACAGCAAGCCTCATGCATTGTGCACATGTCAGTCAGAGCAGCTCTCTAAGCCTCACGAAAGATGACAAGTCTGTTCGTATGATGAGAGTGAGTTGACTTTTAATGAAATTAGTCTGAACTGGAGACGAAACACGGAGCTATGAGGATAAGGTCCTGAGTTATCGTGGAAGAACACGTTTAACCCGTGAGAGGTTCCAGCAGTAGAACTTCCATTAACAATGCAAATACTACAATTTATATGCAAATAATACGAAAAAAAAATAATTTGGTCGCTCAATCCATGACCGTTTGTGGGGACGCTGCTGTGCGCAATTGGCTGCCACGTTTCGCCCACAACATATACAGTCAATTCACTTTACAGCATATTCTGTGAAGCGCTTTGAGACGTCTCGAAAATGTGAGAAGGCGCTGTATCAAATGCAAGGATTATTATTATTATTATATGGTGCCTTCACACAAGGCAGAGTCTTGGAGCATATAGGATTCCCTTGTTGATTGGGACATATATATATACACACTTATATACCTGGAATAGTTACTAAGGCAAAATACTGGCCACAAAACATACTTGCCCCCACATCCTTGACTGTATTTCACACCCTAAAATAATTAGTTTCCCTGCCTGCGCTACGCATACTATGCATTTTTGTAGAATCAGGTTATTCCTTTCACAATGGCTTTTTTTTAATAGACTGTAGGGTGTCTCCAAGTCCCATTTAGATATGATTTGAGTGACAAATTGCAGGAACGAAGACCAAAATCATGTTACGATTCATTCTGAATTTTAACATGATTGTGATGAGCAGGCTGTCAATTAATATACTGCTGTGTTTGCAGATGTCTGTTTATTTGCTAACTAATCTGTTGCTTCTCTAGTTAGAGCTATGCGTTGTTTATCATCCATTGCAACAGGGTACCGCTAGCTATTGTGTGGCCTCATTAGTGCTTACAAGGAAGAGCAAGTCAAGGCTTAAGTCAACAGTTTTTCCATGTGGTACATTATGAATCAATAAACAATTTCCTTTCAGCTAAGAAGTGCCAACTTTTCAGATAGTCGAGTGTTTTCCAGATAAACTCTGGTGGGCGGGTGGGCGGTGGGGGAAGGAAAGTTTGTTGTTGGTTGGTGCTTCCAAAGCAGATAGATTAAAAAAACACACACAAACAGTGATTAGTGACCGGCGCAGGGCTAAGGTGATGTTTCCCTTGTCTCTCTACATGCTTTCGGAGGGAAATATCACGTTGCTAATCTGATGCAGACAGTTCGGGCCTTGAATTTGTTTCAAATGTCAGCTCCCCCAGCGTGCGTGCTGAAACCAGGCAGGTCCCTTTCCTGTGTGTGACAACCCGAAGCTGCCCTGGGAATTGCCAGCTGAGCGGCCAGCAGGAAGGCAGGCCAAACCGAGCAGCAACACTCACCCAGTGGACAGACACATGGTTTAGATGTAAACCCGCTGCTCAACCTAAAAGACATGGACACATGCACAGGAGTGTGTGTGTGCACCGTACCACTTTATTTGTTTTTGCTCCTCAATTAGTAGCTTGTCATGGGGTGTTTGATTCACTTGTCTTCCTGCTTCACATATGGTGACAGCCTTTGGATGTCTTCAAGGTTTAAAAAAAGATTTCTTCCTTGTGGCTGTTTGGATTTTACAGGGCGATCACAGAATATACTAACTACAGCGCACTTCTTTTTTCTAAATGGCTATTTGTCGATGAACGCAGCACGTCCTGTGCTGCATATCATTTTAATTTTTTTAAAAATTGCCATTTTGCACTCGCACATCGAGAAATTGTTTGACCAGTTTTTAATCTATCAGTGGCTTTGGAGAGTAATAATAAGTGTCAAATTACAAATGGTACAGAAATCCCGAATGAACCAAAGGCTGGAGGGGTGGGTTGGAGGTGCAGGTAGTATAATGTCAGATACTGAATTAGTTTCAAACAGATGATCTCCTTCGCCTCGCCAACCCCAATATGTTGTTGGTTGCTTCTGAAGAATCGATATATTTTAGTGTCGGTTTTACCTGTTTGTTGCTGTAGCCTGAACTTAACACAAATTGTCTACAAAAAAACACATACAAACATCGTTAGCATCAGTTGTTTTAAGTGGTACCACACCCGAGCAACAACCAAAAAGTCAGAAAGTCGGCATCATGACATTTTCAGAAATTGCAAATAAACTTGTAATAATTGCCAGCAGCGAAGAGACAGCAGGAGTATTTTTTTTCCAATTGCGTAGGAAATATAATTGAAACTTTTTCCTCTTGTTGGCATGTGGACAATTGCTTAATTGTGTTTGGGCATAAATTACACACAGGCAGCGGTTTGCTCTCTAATTGGGACATGCAATGGGACTCTAATGCTTTGCAGTTTATTGTCATTTGCGTTCTTATTGGCAGTGCGGAGGCATTAATGCTTTTCATGTTCTTCTGGTCTCTCTCACTGAGATAAAAGCAGAAATACTCTTGGGTTCCCAAAATTGAGAACTAAGCTCTGGCCTTACCCTGGGAAAACCAGACTCGAGTTTCCTCCAAATCCTGGAATTGGAATTGACATCAGATTCAAAATGATCAATGAGCCCAGATTGAAGTGGCTCCGAATCCTCAGCCCAGGACTATCCCATGGATCACAAGCAACTGCATGGATCAGACAAGCCTAGGGAAGCATATATCAGACAAGTCCCCTTGAGAACGTTTTCTAATCAGTTTTCTTTCCTCGCGAGTGGCTGTGCTTCACAGCGCTGTAATATTCTAGCCGTCAAGCACGCCAACAACATCAGTGCAGTAGTGTTTAAAAAGAATTCCTTTGGATATTTCATTAAAGGGAAGCCAGTAGTCAGTCTTCTATTAAGAGCTTTCCAGTGAATCCGAAAAGTGTACCCGAAAGAGTAAAACCAATTTTTTTCCCCCTCACTTTCTGCTGTGTGAAAGCAGTAGAGGCTTTGTTGAGCATCATCACTGTGTCGGTGAGCAGGATAGAATTTGGTTTTGAGAATAATTCATGTAAAAGTTGAAATGTTACAGTCAGGAGCACACCTCTATAATGGCTAGCCAATTTTGATGGTCGGGTGAAGTACACAGCGATGATTCCCAGTGCGTGCTAGAGTTGCAGACCTTGGAGTCCTGTAGCTCAGCGGTTAGCGCACTGGCCTCGCAAGCGAGAGGCCTGGGTTCGATTCCCGGGCAGGGTGAAACCTTGGGCAAGTTTTCTTGCTCCACACACCTCTGTTTACCTAGCAGTAAGTAAGAACGCGGTTGTTAGTCAATTGGCGGATGGCTTTTCCGGGGGTGATAATCCCTCGAAAAATAATAATAATAACATAAATTTGGTCACTCAATCCATGGCTGTTTGTGGGACAGTGCGGTGTGCAAATGGCTGCTGCATTTTGAAGAAATTAAAGGAAATGTTTTTTTTTCTGGGGGTCAGGATCCTTCTATAAGGCGACTCTGTACTACTCAGCAGCAGAAATAGAAAAGTGCTGAGTTTCCTCTTGGGTATCTGTGGTATGACAGCAAGTCCAAACAAATAATGTCACAAGTGATGTCACCTTGTTCCCAGCCTTGGGGAAACAGGCTTCAAGAGTTGATCAGTAACATATCACCTTCATTAACTCAAGGGATGCAATTGCATAAGAGTAAAAGGAAACACTGGGTCTTAGAGAGCAGTGCTGAACTGAATTCAGAACTCACAGTGACATGAATTAGACAAGGGTGGTTGGTTTATTTGTAAATACTATAACTGGATACGGTTCTGAAACTTCACTGGATGCAAATACACTGCCTATTTACAATATCTTTCCAGTGGTATAACATGGGATGGTTGTGATTCTCTCACACTCTGATGGTGGCTCTGTGTTTATTATAACGCAGTTAATGTTGGCAGGATTCTCAAATTAGCATTCAGCCACAGAAACTGATCGATAAGAGGGTAAGTGAGGCAGTGATAAGCCATGTATTGAGTAACATTAGACTGGGCAACATCATGTCGTACCATTCGTGCAGTGTTGTTTCTTGCTAAGTCAACCATTGTTCTTAGATTGCCTTTTCCCTGCTTAAGAAACAGTTGGGTTTTTGTACCTGTGTACGCGGTAACCCCAACTATTTTGGTTGACTGTTAGGTGTATCAGAATGGCGAGGACACAGGGGAGGTGCGTTTCTACACCAACAAGAAGCACATTAAGAGAGGCTGTGGCAATGACGTTACGCTCATGATGAAAAACGTAAGTGTGTTTTATTATTTTAGATAAAAATTAAGCTGGAGATTTCAGGTTGGGGCGAGTGACATCCACCATGTCTCTTCTTAATCGCTGCGATGTAGCCATCAGTTAGGAGGCCCAGAAGAGCAATCGTTGATTGCTGATCAATCACTACGGTAAATAATTCAGGAGCAACATCGCTGTAATCTGACTCTCTTTTACACCGTCTTATATCACTTCGCAGAGTATTCTGTGAAGCGCTTTGAGACGTCTCAACGACGTGATAAGGCGCTACATCAAATGCAAGGATTATTATTATTATTATCTCCGATTAAATTAGAATCAATCTGATCTTGTGTTCAAGAACACAACCCGAGCTTTTGAGAGGAGCTCAATCTGAGTTTATCGGCAGCATTGCAGTTTTGGGGGTGGGTGGGGAGGTTTATAATAATAATAACAATCCTCGCATTTGATACCGTGCCTTATCACGTCGTTGAGACGTCTCAAAGCGCTTCACAGAATACACCGTAAAGTGTCTGCTTTGCGGGTGAATTCACTCGGGGTTACATCACCAGCGCGGCGTTTTCTGCCTGCTGTGGTGAGCGGAGGGGGAAACGAGGGAGATCGCGAACCCGGTCTTAAAAGAAGACTACCAAAGAGAAGTGCCGGCCGGTGATAACTATAGCGTCCGATTCCCCCCAGTCCGCAGCTCGTGTTGAAGCCGAGGTCAGCCAACGGTAATACCACTGCACCCCCTGCTGGTAACAAGGCTGCGTTCACTTTGGCTGCCCTTCAGAAACGAGACAAACAATTCAATCATTTCACACTCCCCGACCACTCTTTTGCATTTAATTAATACGTGTTAAGGGTTACGATTGAACCAGGCGAGAAGGCCCCCGACACACTTTTTTCTGAAGTCGTTCTCTCGTCTTTTTTTTTTAAAAACACACTTTTTCTTGCAGTTGCTTCAGATGATTTACCAAAGGCTGATGTGCTCTCCGCATTTCAAATGTTCAGCTCTCATCCGTATCCCTTCTCGGCTTTTTGATAAAAACGGACAGGAAATCAAGAATCCACTCTCTCTAGAAAATGAGCAGAAGGTCTGGGTGTCTTATAAAGAGGACTTCAGGTAAGAAAATTCATTAGTTTTTTCTCTGATCTCAAGTGACCTTTTTTTGTCCGGTGCCAGAATAGTAGAAAGAGGATGGGATGACCCCCAGGTAATAACTGCTTTTATTACATTCCTGGGATTTTTTTTTGAGGTTGTGTCGTGAGACGTACCAGGGAGGCATGACATCTCTGTCTCTTTAGCTTTATCTGTAATGCCTTGTCATAGTTCCTGATGTCTGCCTGTCAGCACTCCGAGAGGGATTTTTCATGTCTGAATAGTCACCCTAATGATGGCAGATGGAAACACCACAGGGGGTACATCCCATCATCCTGTCGTTGTCGTAGGTTGCCCTGACCCGTTCCGCAGCTTCGTGTTTTGTCCATTTTTAAGGCAAAATGGACAGTAATTGAAAAGTATCTTAAGTGAATTTTATCAAACCCCTGACAACACCATCTCCATTGTTTGCATTGTTACCAATAATGTCTTAACCTTTTATGCAACAGTGGCAGTAAATGGAATGGCAAATATAGGACTTGCATTTTCATTGCTGTATGTTGTAGCAAAGTAATCTACTCACCCAAGTGCACTCGTATAACAGATGCCCCCCCCCCCCCCCCCCCACCCATCCGTTACCATATTCATTTGAGTATTCGCTTAAAAGCAAATGACCACAGATCAACATTAAGAGGGACTAATATTAAAGCTGGAGTTTGATTTTATTTTTGCATAATCCTTGCATTTCATGTAGAGCAGTGTCACATCTTCGAGACGCCTCAAAGCGCTTCAGAGAATATACTGTAAAGTGAATTAACTGTATGTTTCTTTGTGGCAGCCAAATACACACAGCAGTGTCCCACCAGCAGTCTGGATTGAGTGACCAAATTTTTTTTTGAAGGGATATAAAATAAAAAGATATTTGAAAGAAATAAGGATTGGAAGCTTCGTACTGTGTAATCGTTGAAGTTTGTTTTATAGGCTCTATCGGCTTTAATGACTCGTTGCATCTTTTTACAAAAATGCAACCGTTCGACTTGTTAATGCTCAGAAAAATAACTCCAATCAGAAACACTGGGGAAATTATTATGAGGAGTTAATGAAAAGATGGGCCATTTTTAACTAATAATCTTTACATTTGATATAACACCTTTCAGTTCAGGAAGAAGTCTCAAAGTGCATCGCAAATCATGCTGTAAAGTGTAGTAACTGTGTATTTGTTGGCAAATGTGATTTCAGTGATTGGAGTATGACATACTGTAACATAATCCATTGTCCATTAGATCCACAGTTTTATTCACATGGACCATAGGACTAATTAATACCAGGACTAAACTCCTGTATTATGTTTCCAGCAGCAACACACTGATAGCTCAGTGGGTAAGTGCACCTAATGGTACAGCACTCAACCCTACATACAGGAAAACTCCATATTTGATCACTGGTCTACCGAGAAATAAACAATTTTACAGAAAGTGTGGGCAGAGAGCACTGCAATTGGCCTCACCATTACCAGATGCGAGAGAAGAAAATATTAGAAATTAGTGATTAAATATTTACTGAAGACATTTGCATGAAGACAATGGCTTATTAACACTGAACAAGTGTAAACTCATAGAACTGTTCCACACACCAGCCTCAGACACTGTGTGAATGAACAGTCTGTGGTCTGTGGCAATGTAGTGTGTCCGTCCTGTGAAAATGAAGGGTCCTGTGGTCAGGGTGTTTGCACCTGTGAAAGATTAGTGTTGTGGTCAGAGCGCAGGGTTGTGTAGTTTCACAGGAGGATAAGCTTTCTCCTGCCCAAATTGGATATCAAAATATTACAACACCCATATAGCCACAGTACCATTAGAGAGTCCTGTAGCTCAGTGGTTAGAGAGGACCTGGGTTTGATTCCCGGGCAGGGCGAAACCTTGGGCAAGTTTCCTTACTCCGCACACACGCCTCAGTTTACTCAGCAGTAGGTAGGAACTCGGTTGTTAGTCAATTGGCAATTGGCGCATCGTTTTTCCGGGGGTAATAATCCCTTCAAAAAAGAATGATAATAACGTTTTAGTCACTCAATCCACAACATTCAGCTGCCACTTTTCGCCCACAAAATATACAGTCACTTTACAGTATATTCTGTGAAGCGCTTTGAGACGCCTCAAAGGCGTGATAAGGCACTGTATCAAATGCAAGGATTATATTATTGTTATTATTAGAAGTTACTCCACTGTTTTGAATTAATTGTATCTCTCCTATGTGACATTTCCTTAAAACATTTATTGAAAAACATTAGGTTTTGTTATTTTTCTATAGCCTTTAGATGTTTATTACGATGACAATTTCAATTTTTCACCAAAGCAATCGGACAAATGAATACAAAGAAGCAACTGGTGCAGATGTAAAATTTGTGAAGCGTGCTGAACATTTAAAGAATATTTCTCGAGTAATGGTTTGTTGTGTACATGTTAGGATAGGAAGGAATTGGATTGGAATCCAAACTAATTTGTCAGGAGAAGAATGGCATTGTGTTTAATTTTGCAAATTAGAGTATGGTTTAATTTAAAGGCAATAATAGTTTTTTTACTTTTTCACTTATATGTTCTTTTTGTTCCAATTATCAAAGCACGTCAACTGTACTATGCAAAATACAACTGGGGGGGAGTGTAAAATAACCCAGGAAAAGGCAGATAGACAACAAAAATCATTCCCCGGGCAAAGTACTGTAGCAATGTGAAATGTTGAGGCGTCACCAGAATTCTTTTAAGTAATTATTTCAATTATTTTGTCATCTCGTGAATTTTTTCTTACTTTCATTGTTTCAGAGTGCTTAATTATATAGATTGTTTTAGCTGCATAGATAATTGGAAATGAAAGCTTTGGAAGATCACAGCTGAATTGTTTCATGAGATGGGAGTCCCACATGTACATCAGAGTTAATCTGTGAGGATATTTTGGTGTCTATTTTGGTGCCTTGCTGATGTTTTTTTCCTTCCTTTTAAATATTAAAAAAAATGTAAATGACGGTGGCAGGATTGATTTGTTGCTGTCTATTTGTTCCATAGGAGTATCAGCAAGCCATATCTCACTGTGACTTTTGAGAGGGCGATCAGGGTTGAAGAACTGGATAAAATGGTGGTCTACAGAACCCATCTGGACAATCTCCATCCTGGATTGGAAAAGTATGACCCAGTTAGTGTTCCACGCACTCTCAATGCATTCATACATGACATCGCCAGATTGAAATACTGTTCATTAGATGATCTCTCACTGGTGGTGGCAAGTCCTGGCAGAAGCAACACCTGTGAGAGCTGCTGGAGCTTATGATGGTCTTTGGCATGAGTTCTGGACGATCTAGAAAGGGTTTTGCACAACTTCCATGTGTGTGCGAGACCCTTAGCTCATGAATGGATGGTCTCTTCAAGAGCACATAAGGGCACCTGGATTTTATTGGGCAACAAAATAATTTAGGCCTAACAAGCCAGTCTGTTTTTCACTGTTGACCTCACTGCCTTCCTACTTCTCAAATATCCCTTAGGCTCTTCCTTCTCCAGTCAGTATATACAGACCATTGCAATGGACTTCGCAACACTGGAGAACTAGCCGGGGGGGAATGGGGAAAGGGGGCCAAGCAATGGGGAGATAGAGCCAGGAGATGGTGAGAGGATGCTGGTTGTTAGTTGATATACATAAGGTGGCTGCAAAGCTTGAAAAGGCCTGGCTGCAGTCAGGGAAGGTGAAGCTCCCCTCTCACACAGTGTTATAGGTGATTTTCAGGCATATGTAAGATTGCTTTTATTTTCATTGCCTGAACATGAACCTTCACTAGACTGTCATGTATAAATTCAACAGCTTAACCTTTGTTTCAGCTCTGAGGCCTGGAAAGTGTGCACGGAATTCCCAGAAAGTTGCATCCAGGCTGAAATAAATCCAAGCCAACTGGAAGCCCTGGATTCTCTGAGTCATTTCCTCCATTGGACGGTGAGTCATGTCGGAGGGAACCAGTAGTCAATAGCCATTAAAGTTTAAAGTTGTAATATTTTCTACATGATGAGCTCCCTATAATTAATCACAGAAAAAGATGCATTAATGCTGTCAGTCTAGCTTTAGGTCTGACCCAGACAGTCGTTCAAAAGTTGGTAAAGGTGATGACACTGTACTGCCGTTCGGGACAGAGTGTTCAAAGTCCAATGGGGCACTTCTTACATGTGTAAATGTTAGAGCTTTAAGGTATCCTGTGCCACATCTCGCTCTGTTGCATTCAGGTAGATAGAACCCTGTAGCGACTGATTTCCTACTCCAACCGCAATCTCAGGGGGAGTTGTTATCTCCCCGGCTGAGATCACGAGGCTCCTGTGCTGGGAACCTGAGCTTTGCTGTGGTGAACCACAGAATGAGATGATACTGTGGCTCATTTAAACATCATTGAGAATCAGCAAATACCTGTGGATACCTTTATGCTCAGCATTGCCTCATGTCAAGTGAGTTCCACTCTTTTATTTTTGTCCCTATTTAACAACTATTTCAGTGTGTTTTGCTGCAGGACAAACTTGTCCGTCCTGCAGTGCAGCTCCAAGCTACTTGGCCCCTGTGGTTTCCATGATTGTAAGACTATCTGAGCTGCATGGCTCGCCATTCCCACCCGCTGTTTCTTATCTTCTGTGGTGGAGGTAAAAGCTACTGGTTGATCGGCAGCGTAACTTAACAATGTCGCAATTCAAAACGCGAAGTTAGAAAATACTGTAAACCTCTCATGAGTCGTATCAGTTGGGACCATACATTTTACTCTGACTTATGCAAAGTATGAGTTATATCAAACTTGCATAGAATATAAACTCCTGAACAGGACTTGGGCAGATGTACCACTTGGGCGATTATACGATTCATACAGGCCAGGCTTGTGCAAGTTTTACTGTCAGACAAAGTACACGTGAAGACTGAAAATTCTATCAGCGCTCATTGAGATTCGGTGCACTTCAAAAGTAATTTGGTACAAATCATCGAGGCAGCGTCTCTTTCCCTGTTTTCACTAATAGAAAGAACCCGAGCTGGTCGTGAGCCCTTCACTGACTGTGCAAAATAGGAACACGACTTCCATTAACAAGAAGCACGAGGGGCAGAAGACAGAAGCAGCCACATCACCCTGGGCTTTAGCTCATATGTGGGTCATCACAAAGGTAGTGAACTAGTCAAGCACACAATGTTGGGTTAATCAGCGGCAAGTGTAACAGACTGGCATTCATCCCGGGACTAGTGTTCACAGACAAACCTTAGAGAAGAGGACGAGCGATAATCAACAAGTAAATTGTATGAATTTGCAATAAAAAATTGCTTCCACAACATTTCTGGGGGGAAAAAAAATCTTGTTGAAGTCTCATATCCCAGAACATTTTATTTTAGAAATGACTGACATAAAGTAGGATGGTTAGATGCAAATGATTGATATTAGGATTATTTTGGAAGGAGCATTGAGCGGTGAAAAGGTCAATTTTAAGGCAAACATCAGAAAATATTTCACGGCAATCAATTCCTGGAAAGTTTCTGAAACATTGCCAGTGTTTTGTTACATTTAAACATTCAGCTGAAACTGCTTATATGTAAAATACCTTTATTCCCTCCAGGACCATCCTAATATCTCCCCTTCCCGATTGAGAAAGGAACACACTTTTGAATCCACTTCACTGTGCGTAGGAAGTGAACTGGATTTGCCTGTGCAGCCAAAAGTACAGTAATGCCTGCAGTTTAAATGGACCAAATGATGCATAACAGATCTCAGATCAGTCCGAAACACATCAGAGAAAGGAAAAATAAGCGAGAGGGAGAAAAAAAAAGAGATGAATGAAGATAGTGAGGCCAGTTTCCTTTTTTGCACTGAACTGTAAAACACCACTGTGGACGTGTTAGAGATCACTGGTTAAGAACAGTGGCCATTGACTGCTTAGTTGGTTCTGGTATTCCACTTTACTAGGGATGTCCCGACTCGTTCAGACATAATGACCTCACAATTTCTTGATTCATTTTCTTCTTGTTTCTTTTTCCCCCTTGTTCATCCTTTTCCCTTGTGGAATGCCCTGGAAGGCTGGATTGATCCTGAATCGAGCTGTTCCGCAGCTCTGCCTTGCTGCCAGTGATCAGGAAGTCAGACTGCAGATTGAGGGAGAACCGCATTGGGAAGCTTATAAACTAATTTTGCAGAAAAGGTACGAATGTTTATTTTACTCCTGAAGTTATTACTGTCTGAGAGTCAAAACGCATGTGACAGGTGTACGATTCTTATAGGTTAGGCTTACACAAAGCACAGTCACTACACTTGACAGGAAATAACTGAGATGAAGTGAAATGAGGCATGAAACAAGTGTGAGACTGAGAACAAAACAATTCAATTAGCTTATTGACCACAGAGTCTCCTATTTCTCTCTTGTACGTAGTGACTGCAGGATGTTTCTGTAGCTTTTGTATAAGTTCTAACAATCATTTCTCATTCTTCTTTCTACAGAAAGACAGATAATATTCCAAATCAATTGTGGCGCTTTACCAAAGCTGGGCACATTTACTGCAAGGTTTGTATTTAAATCTGTAGAAGGCAGAGAAATAACTAGGTTGAAAAGGTTCATTGAACACTGATATTTGAAGATCTAAGTATTTCCAGTTATTGCATTCAATTGGCTGGCGCATTTCACCCACAAAATATACTTTACAGTATATTCTGTGAAGCGCTTTGTGACGTCTCGAAGATGTGATAAGGTGCTATATCCTTGGGACATCCTCCCAACTTGAAAGGTGCTATGTAAATGTAAATGTAAAAATATATAGTCAATTCACTTTACGGTCATAAAAATGAATTATTATTTGTATTAGTATTGTATCATTAATAAAACGCCTGGAAATGGCATTGAAAGTGTTTCTGGATCAGGTATTCCTGTATTCCCTGGATGACTCAGTTGCTGAGACCTTGCTCTTAACTTCACCTCACCTTCTGTCCTCTCCTCTAGGCGTATCCTGGATTTCCCCTGACGTACCTGAAGGAGCTGGATTTAAAGGAGGAGGTGACCCAGAAAGATTGCCAGGAAAGGGCCTTCAGTAATAGCCGTACAATTAAGAAATTCAAGGAAAAGGTCAGTGTTCACCAGAGAGTGGAGTTTTGAATAAAGCTTATTTTTTTAAAAAAATGACAGCCTAATTGTGCTAAAGAGCCGAAAATCAACATTTCGCACACAAAATACACAATCAATTAATCCACTTTTACAGTATATTCTGTATTGTGAAGCATTTTTGTGAAGCTTCTCGAAGACACGATAAGGCGCTCTATCAAATTCAAGGATTATTATTATTATTTATTATTATTATTTAATATTATTATTGTTTTGGGATGGAGGATGGATGGAGAAGACAGAAGAGGTTGAACAGAACTGGTTAGGCTCTGAGACGTCTTCCTGACATGAAAGGCGCAATGTAAAGATAAAGTTGTGGTGGTTCTTGACTAATTAAGGAACACCCCATGCCAAAAGCTCCAGTTGTATTGCTGACTGCAAGAAGTTTGTGTCGCTGCAACTGCTGAGTAGTTGCAATGTAGGTCTTGAAAACATTGAGAGATGATGCAGACATCATCAACCTATTTCATTTAGACTGCTAAGGAGGCACAAGAAGACATAGGTACCTTTTCCGTGGCTTTATTTCACTCCATGCATTCCTATGTTCTCCGTCTTATAATTCATTAAGACTGAAGGTAACCCCGTTTTTGGTATCTGAGGTGATGTGATGTTTCATCATTGCTACGCTCTCCTGTTCAGTAACCCATCCGGTGATTTTGCTGCTTAGTGTACAAGACGACAGCAGTGTGTGTGCATAAAATGGAATTGAAAGTTTATGAGCCGTTATTTGTGAAATCTGTAGCACAAATAATCATGAGGTTGGTGCCTATAGATGATTTGTGCTCATTAGCCCCTTGAAAAGTGTAATGGCAGGTCTGGCACAAATAATTTATTTTTATTGTTGATTCACGCCCTCGGTACGGTTACTCAAACATCTTTCTGTTACTTCAACCAGAGCGCAGAATCATTCGGCCTCTGTTTGCCTGTCCTGTGCTAGCCATTCCCTCCCACGGCAGCTATCTGCTCCTTTCTTTCTTGTCCACTTCACTTTTATAACTTACAAACTCTTCACGTCTTTATCCCATTCCCTTTTAAATATGTCGCAAGTAAATCGGTTCCAATAGTCACTCATGGCAATGCGTTCTAGGTCTTAATAACCCCCTTATATAATATAATTTCATCTAACCTTCCCCATTATGCCTCCAGTAACAAACTTGAGTTGACGCCTTTCTTGATGCAGTGGGACATATCCCTCTCAAAACCTTTCACCATTTGGAATGCTTCAATTAGATTTCACCTTGACTTTCCCTGCTCCAGTAAAGAATACGGCCCCATGAGTTTTGAGCCTTTCATTAAAACCTCATGCTCTCTTTCCTGGTGTCATCAGAATCAATCTGAGCTGCATCCTCTCAACGGCGAAGATAAAATTCCTGTAATGGGATGCTTCAAACTGCACAGAAATACTCCCAACTGCAGCGTAAGAAGATTCTTGTACAAATGCAATTCATCTCTTATTTCTCATTGCCCTCCTTATACAGTATTTCTCCCTTGAATAGCTTTTTTCATCTGCAATTCCACCGTTAGGCATCTGTGTATTAGCACCCTTCAGCCTCTCTACTTCTTTGAGGCTGCTACCATTATGGATGTATTCCCATTAAAATGTTAATTAAAATGTTCATCTCCAAATCAACCAATAGAAGTTTAACGCGCTTCTAAAATTATTTTTTTTAAAAAGAAAATGAAGATGAGATTATTTTTGATTCCATCTTTCTGCTCGTAACACTTTAAAGACTAGAGCAGTTTCACCGCATCAGAAATAAAACCAAGATTGGGGCCATATAATGTGTTATATTTTGTAACAGTGAAATTGTATTTCACATTTCCTTTTATTTGCAAAGCTGAACACAGAACTGTATTATATGTAGTAACAATAATAATAATCCTTGCATTTGATATAGCGTCTTATCACCCCATTGAGACATCGCAAAACCCTTCACAGAATATACTGCAAAGTGAATTTACTGTATATTTTGTGGGCGAAAATGAGAATTAGGGGAGTGATCAGGTAACTGGAATATTTTCTAATTTCGCAATTTGATGACTTAAAAGATTTTGTATTTTCACATTTTGACGAAAAACACTGTTTGAAAGACACTTGAGGGTTATTCGGTAAATGTTGCATCTTTGTTCACTTATGTTTTGACGAATGCGTCACTGCTCACTGATACAAAATGCGATGAAATTTCATCTTGTAAGCTTTTTAATAAGGGACGGCGTAAAACAAAAACCATTGAACCTAACAAAGGGCGCCAGCGTAACTCATTTTATCCCTTGTTAAAATAAGAGTTATTTTACTTCTCTGTTATTAATTTTTGTATGTTTACGCCAGAATTGATGCTCTGCTGCATGTATTTAGAGAAGGGTGGAAGGGTGACAGGATTAGATTGGTCACCCACTGTGGGAACTGTGTGTCACAGTGTAATGGGAACATACGCCAGCATCCAGATAAGTGCATAAAATTAAATAGCATGAAGTGGCCTTGGGACCTGTTCAGCAGCACCTGCTAAATACCACAGAGCCCAGGGAAAGTTGAAGTCGGACAATAATCCATGGAAACAGCTATTTTACTGGAAATGGCATCGGGTCCTATTCCCAAATCCTTCTCTTTTTTTCGGTGTATCCCCCTCTCCGCAGCCTGCCTTTCGTTTTAGAAGTAAACAGGTGTGTTTTGTTTTCTGGATTCATTCTGCAAATGCCCATTTGTAGAGCAGAGAGCAAAAAAATTACAGAAGACGGCATCTTGTGTATAAATAGATCACCTCGTGCCGGAGACTGGTTGCCATGAATATCCGAGGCCACGGAATTTGTAAAGCACTCAACTCCTGACTCGACCCTTCACGAACCAAAATGGCTTTTGGGTTATGTGGTCACTCATGTGTTAAAGTATTTCTCACAGTCCTTTTTTCCCCCCTCTCCAATTTGCATTTTATTGTAACTCACACCCTGAACGTGCAAATCTGCTGAAAAGGATCTGAAGCGGAACATCCATCCTCATGTGTGTCATTCTTTAGATTAGTTTTGTGTCTATGTGTAAAATATCTTCCGCTGAGAACCTTTATGTTGTAGATGCTATACCCCCCACCCCTCACGCCCATTATTTTAACATGTTGGTTTTTTTTAAAAAACTGAAAGCAAATTGGTTTGGGTTTTGTCGTGTTTATTGCTGGGACTCTCTATCTACCTCAGTTGAATGCACTGCACACCTCCACAGAACCTTTTTGGGTTAAAATGTGAACTATATAATTTTTCTTCAACGTGAAGATTTTAATGACAGTTGCCTGGAATCGTACCGTTGCATTCTGGAATAACACGAAAATCTCGAGCATTTGCGTGAGATACTGTACAAACAACTGCAATAGCAGTTGCCATAACAAGTTTTTTTCCCCCAAAACGCCAATTAGCTGGAAGTCACTTAACATTAGTGAAGTGTGATTTACATTGGGAAGTTTATTAGTGTCTTTTCATAAAATGTTTGAGATTGAAGATTCTTTTAATTACCTTAGAATTGCCCACTCTGCCGTCAGTTACTTTCATCAGCCGAGGGAAATATTGTGAGTAATTGTGCCATTTAGCTGTAAGGATTTTAGAAGCATGAGAGGTAATTACGCTCAGTCCCCTCTTGAGTGCTTTATGGAGACTTAAGTACTGTAATAATATGACAGTTTATTAAACAGAATCATGGATTTATTTAATGAAAAGTTCTAATGATTTGCTCAAACTCAGGCTGTCCAAAGCAGTGCGAGGAAAGGTGATCACAAACAAGAATGGAGTGACTCGAAAACCCAACCGATGCCCAAAGGGGACCCTGAGGGCAGTGCCAGGCTGACGGTGGCCCTGGCAAGAAAACTGAAGGAGAAACATCCTCAGGCAGCGGCTCAAAGGTAAGCCAATGCCAGTGCTGATAGTTATTGCTCAATGACATTAGATGCTTTCTTTCCTGCGGTTCCATGTGAGATTGATGCGCTGGGTATTTTTGAAATACCTCTCAAGCCCTCAGGCCAGGCATCGTTAGCCCACACACAGATGTCGGAACAAACGTGGAAGAAAACGATTGTTAGAAACTTTTGAAGGGGTTGTCTCCCTCTTCTTTTTTTAAAAAAACGCACACACAAAGTAATTTGTTGGTTAGATTTGCTGGTTTGCCCTTTGTTCCTCAGCTTGAATGGGGCCAATCGCCCTCCTCTGTAATGTGATGGCAATAAATATGCAACTGACCAGTGGATCCCAAGACGTTGACACCATGCGTCAAGATTTAATGGTATTGAGTGAGATTACGGTTAGATGTATTAATGTATTACTTTTCCAGCACGAAGAGAGAACTCAAGTCCTTGGGACGTCCTCCCAACGTGAAAGGTGCTCTATAAATGCAATCTTGTTGTTGTTGTTGTTTTTGTCCTCGTTTGCTCCACAGCTGCTCTTAAACTGCTCTCCTCCTGTCGTTCAACACTTTGGTTTGGGGAGTGAACGAAAACACGATGAAGTCACGAGTGGAAAATGGCAAACTTTTGTGACAGACAAAAGTTTCTTATCGAGATCGTAAATTACGTTTTGTTGAACAATGGCTTTTACTGTCGTTTAATCCCTGAAGAATTCTCGAGCTAAGGATTGTGCAGTGAGCTCTCCTGTTTGCCAATAGTAATTTTTTTTGTTTAACAAATCGTAGCAAACCACTATAACGTGGAGTGAATTTTTCATCACTTGTTGATAATGGGGATAATGAGTTAGGTTCAGTCAGTGTGGTGGGGGCAAGTTCCAGGGAAAAGTTCCAATTGTATTCCCAGAGCATGTTCCTGCTATTGCAGTGGAGCAAAAGATTTGGTGGTATATTAGAGAGGGACCAAGACTTGTAGAGATGTTAGAGAAAATCACAGACTGAATCTGTGCATGGCGTTTCAATCAAAATCTGATCGCAGTTGCTCTGATACATTGCTACATTCATGTGATTTGGCGATTTTCATCTCTGTATGCATCAACGGGCAAGTGTAGTTACTTTCATTTGAGCAGTTTACTGACGTTTTCTGAATCACTTTCCTACACCACAGAAGCATATTATATGAATTTTTTATACAAATGGTTCTGTTCTATTTTTGTGATTATCGTGCCCTTAATTGGATCCTAATTTGCCCGAAGCTTCCATGGTTCCTCAGTATATTTCCATCTTCTCCTCTTGTGCTTTTAGTGGTCACCCAATTAACATGAACCAGAGTTGCGGTAGTTCTGCGCTAGGAACCACTAGTTCCTAAGTTGTGCAAGTTAAATGCGCTATGAAGGCTTTGATTAAAGTAAAGTTGGTTTGCTGCCAATGTTCTGCTGCATAATTTGTAGTGAATTGTATTCACTAGGTTCACTCTGTCCATTGTAAATGTCCACCAATTACAACAAGGTGAATAATTACTGTCCATCGGACAGTACAAGATGTAATATAATAATAGTAATAATAATAATAATTAATCCTTGCTTTGATATAGAACCTTTCATCTCGGGAGGACATCTCAATGTGCTTCACAGAATTTACTCCTGTAAAGTGAAAGCGATTGAGGTGTATTTCGCAGGTGAACGCTGCAGCCAACTTGCACACAACGATGTCATCATCAATTTTATCTTCGGGACTGTTGGCCCTAGAGGGCACCAAGAGAAATTACCCTTCTCTTTTCAAATAGCGCCAAAGGATCTTTAAACATCTACTTGAACAAGCAGAGATGGGACCTTGGTTTGAAGTCTTCATCTCAAGGAAGGGGACATAGATTTAAGATAATTGACAAAAGAGCCAGAGGGAGATGAGGAGAACATTTTTTTGCACAAAGAATTGTTACGGTCTGGAACGCACTGCCTGAAAGGGTGGGAACAGATTCGATAACAACTTTCAAAAAGGAATTGGATAGGTACTTGAAAAGGAAAAGCTTGCAAGGATGTGGGGAAAGAGTGGGGGGCGTGGGACTGATTGGGCAGCTCTTCCAAAGAGCAGGCACAGGAACGATGGCCCAAAGGGCCTCCTTCTGCGCTGTAATATTCTAGGATTCTGTGATTCTAGGATCTACTGAGCCTGACTGATAGCTTGAGTTGCTCTCTAACAGAAAGGGGGCAACCTAAAGAGGAGATTCACCACTTAGAATGTGAGGGTAATGAACAAACTAAACCTGGCTAGATGTGAGTATGGACAACATAGTTGGCAGGATCTGTATTGCAAAGAAGTGAAGAATAAAGAGATGAGGAAGACTGGGTAGAATGCCATATTTGAAGCTTTTTGGAAGAACAAATTTGCATACACTTTAAACGTGCATTTACACTGGAGGAGAAAATTATACTTTGGTATTCTCCTGCAGTCAGACACCGTAACGTGAGTTAATGAAGGAGAAAATGAAGTAGCTCTAGTCATGAAGACATCTGTAAAAAGGACCACAGGGTCCTCACCATCCCATAGCTCTCTTAATAGTGGAGACTTTAGCATCGGTGCTGTTGCTGATATAATCTCAGCTGCAGCAAAACAAATAAATCCTTCTCTACGGATGCTGGCCCCCGTTTGGTTTCCCTGAATTGAAGGGAATTCAAGGAGAAGAAATGAAAAGAATTTGCTTCCGAAATTAAGCTGGGCACAGTTTGAGAAAATTCTGCATAATCTCCAATCATTGCCATTTAATTGACGCATTCCTAGTGGGTTATGCATTATTCCCACCTACAATTGAGGAAATATTGTGTTGTAGATGAGTTCAGTTATTGGGTATATAAAAGACACATCACTGCCACTAGGCATCAGCAAATATGATTTTAATTATGGTCACTGGGGATAATGATATAAAGTGTTGATAAAGGGCTAATTTCCTTATTATAACTGTGTTCTCGTTTAACGCTCTCTGGAACATGCAAAGTGTTTCAAAAGGGCGGGATAAACACTTTTACAATAGTGAAGGTAAAAAGAGATTTACGGCAACCTTATAATCATAAATAATATTAATCTTTGCATTTGCAATAGCGCCTTATCGTGTTGTTGAAACACCTCAAAGCACTTCACAGGATTTTTATGGTAAAGTGTAGTGACTGTGTATTTGTAGGCAAATGAGGCAGCCAATTTGCATGTGGCGGTATCCCACAAACAGTCAGGAAGCGAATGACCAAGCTTATCTGAGGGATTATTGGCCAGCACACGGGGAGAAACTGTGAAAAGTTCTTTTTAAACGTTCCCGTAGGTAATGGTGACCTGTACATTACATGAAGTCGCAACTCATTTAGTATTTATCTAATCATTCAGTCCGTAGATTCAGTAAAGTTGCTTAATGCCACTCTTAATAATTACACAGTGTTGTACTGGTTTAGATCATTTGTATGTCTGCTGCCAAAATGCATTTCAGTAGGCAAATAAGATTTGTAAATTGTAATAGAATAGTGATTTATAGTGTCTGGTTGCAGTTTGAATATTGCCAGGAATCTTTGCCATATTTAGACAACATTCTGATTAAGAAGTGCAAGGCTATTCACTTTTGTAAGGTGTTGAGTTTTGCAGATTAGAGGAAATGAGTTGAAATTCATCCGAGGATTTGACACTCAGCAACCTGTGACAAAGAAGGGAGAAGGGAATTGGACAATTGATATTTATAATCCGTTTAAAACAATTCAAAGAACTGTAAACGATCTAACAATTTCTCGATTTAAGAAAAAGTTCACTTTATGAAATCTGACAGATTCTCACCTTTTTGCGTTTTATGTTTTCAGCGACTGTGCTCGCGAGTGTCGGCGTTTAAACCATTTTGCTTTACTTGGGAAAAATAAACTTCAAATGGAATAAAACTTCTGAAACAGAGGAAAGCTGCAAAGCCTTCCAAGCCGGCTGGGTTTGAACAGCGAATCTTTAAGATTCCTCACAGCGGGTATCAGTGATGTACAAAAACATTGTTGTAATTGTTGGACGTGGAGGTGTGAAGAGTTGATTTGTTGATATTAGTTTTCTGAATCAAGTGGCACACCTTTATTTAAATTATCCGGCAAAACCCATACACTCGATGAAGCATGCTGACCCAGCTTGTCAACAAGTGACCTGTGATAAGGAAATAATGAACTGTGAGTTTCTGTCATCGTAACCATTTCTGACAGTTTGGCTACAGGCACATCTGTGTTACTTGCACAGAAAGGCCTTTGTTGTTCCCACTAGTGACTTTACAGAGACCGCTGTGGGGTTTTGCTAGCTATTGCACTCCGACAATGTCCTGCTTTAAGGAGGAGCAGCTGTCAATGACAAATCTGGCATTTGTCCTAATGATGCACTTGGCATTTATTTGTTTCTTAGAAATAAGAAACGCCATGCAATCTGGGCTGGGATATTCCTTCAGATGTACTCTCTCTCCATCCTTAGCGTTTTCTGTGTGTAGCTACCCTCAGCTGAAAATAGAACCAGCGTTACTTAATGCCAGTTCTAAAAGTGCACTCTGACTGATTAAGTATTTATAAGGTTGTCTGACACTTTACTTAAGGACCTCATTTTCGGTATAATGATGCTGACTGAATTATTTAAACAGAGCTGGTAATCTTTTGTGCGTTTTTAATAATTTATTGATGGCTTTTTGAACACTTACTTCCTTCTGAGTCTCTGCGTCACATTAAAAACTATAAGGGAATAAAATGGCCTTCATTCTAATTTGGATCTATAAATATAACACAACCTCATTAGCACAACCTCATTAGGGAAAGTGCTGAAGGTTGTGTTAAGTTTCGGAGAACTAAATGGTTTCCCATTATATCCCGCATCTGCTACATTTTATTTTAAAACACCAGGAACAACGGGATTTATGGGATGTCATAATAATCCTTGCATTCAATATAGCGCCTTGCACGTTGGGAGGATGTCTCAAAGCGTTTCCACGGGATTTACTGTAAAGTTTAGTCACTGCAT